GGATTTGGGCCCTACTCCCAAGGCGCAGCGAGGTCCGGCAGCGGAAAAAAAAAAAAAAAAACCTCAGTGGTTTTTTAGTGTGCCTGGGGTACCGGGCGTGGTCCCTACCCGGGCGCCCCGGGAAAGCTAGCCCCATTGTCTTTTTTTTTTCTTCTTCTTTTTTTTATAGCAAAACAGCCAGAGCAGATGCTAGGGGTCTTGAGTCTTGACTCACTTGACAAGGTTCCAAATCCAGTTGTGCGCGTTCAGCGAACGAGCATCCGGGCGTGTTTTGGGGCAGGTACAGCAGGTTTTGGCACAAAACCTTAACTTTGTTGGGGGGGGGAGGGGAGGAGGGGAAAGAACTTAAAGAGGAGGAGAAGTAAAAAAATCCAAGATCTTTTATGGGATGCCCTCCGATTTTGGCGTTTATTTTGCATGTTGGTACTTTCTTTCGTAGCACGTATTAATGTCCTCCACGAGAAAAAAGCCTCACATTTTGTGCTCACTTATTTGAAGGACTTGAACGACTACCATAGTACCTCATTCTATCTTTCTTTTTTTCTTTTTTTTTTTTTCTTTTTTTTCTTTTTTTTTGGTGGTTCAAGTATATTCCAATTTCCAAATCAGAAGTTAGTTCCAATGTGACCGAGACAGCAATGAACTGACTAAATGTGGAAGAGACGTGCTACATGTTTGGACTTGGGAGTGTGAGAAGTTTTGACTTTATATTTTGGAGAAATGTGAACAGATTCCTTACAAGTCCTCTTGCTTCACCTTATTTGTTTTCCTTGCTACAAAAGAATACCATGTTACGTTCTCGTCGCTGCCCTTCATTTTCTCCTCCTTTTTTGAAGTTTTATCTCCTGTGCCATCTCCTCTTTCTGCACTGTCTTCTGGTCCTCTCCTCTTCCTCCTCCTCCTCCTCCTCCTCCCCCTACCCAATATTTACCTTGCGGGATTCTCAATTGCTTTTTCTTCTAATTCTCACAAACTTCTTCTTCTTCTTCTTCTTCTTCTTCTTCTTCTTCTTCGTCTTCTTGCTTCTTGCTGCTGCTTGCTTCTTGCTGCTGCTTGCTTCTTGCTGCTGCTTGCTTCTTGCTGCTGCTTCTTCTTGCTGCTGCTTCTTCTTGCTGCTGCTGCTTCTTGCTGCTGCTTCTTCTTGCTTCTTGCTTCTTGCTTCTTGCTTCGTGCCTCTTCTTCTTCTTCTTCTTCTTCTTCTTCTTCTTCTTCTTCTTCTTCTTCTTCTTCTTCTTCTTCTTCTTCTTTATCTTCTTCTTCTTTGTCGTCGTCGTCGTCGTCGTTGTCGTCACCGTCGTCATCGCTGTCGTGGCCGCCGTCTTCTTCTCCTTATCCTTCTTCTTCTTTCTTCTTTCTTCTTCTTCTTTCTTCTTCTTCTTCTTCTTCTTCTTCTTCTTCTTCTTCTTCTTCTTCTTCTACTACTACTACTACTACTACTACTACTACTACTACTACTACTACTACTACTACTGCTTCTGCTTCTGCTTCTGCTTCTCCTCTGCCTTCTTCGTCTTCTTCGTCTTCTTTGTCTTCTGCTTCTGCTTCTGCTTCTGCTTCTCCTCTGCCTTCTTCGTCTTCTTCGTCTTCTTTGTCTTCTGCTTCTGCTTCTTCTTCTTTGTCTTTGTCTTCGTCTTCGTCTTCGTCTTCTTGCCTCTTCTTCTTCTTCTTCCTCTTCGTCTTCTTCTTACCTCTTCTTCTTGCCTCTTCTTCTTCTTCTTCTTCTTCTTCTTCTTCTTCTTCTTCTTCTTCTTCTAATTCTAATTCTTCTCCTTCTTCTTCTTCTTCTTCTTCTTCTTCTTCTTCTTCTTCTTCTTCTTCTTCTTCTTCTTCTTCTTTCCCCCTGTTCCTCCCTCCTCCTCCTCCCTCTCCTCCTCCGTCCTCCTCCTTCTCGCCCCTCTTCTTCTTCTTCCCTCCAGTTCCTCCCCCCTCCTCCTCGTCCCTCTTCCTTCTCCCTGCTTCACCTCGTCCTGTTCATACTTCTGCTGCTGAACTGCATGTCTTAACTTATTTTGTACTGTATTCGTTTTCGAAATTAACTTCATGCAGGAAGTGAGAGGTAGGAGCTTAAGCCGCACAGTTTCTTGGCCACAAACTTTTGACGAGAAGGAGAACAAGTATGGAGGTAGGTTTCAATTCCTGCCTTCTCCACCTCCTCCCTGCTCCACCTCCTGCCTTGTGGCTGGATGGTTACAGTACTATACAGGTTATTTGTTTGTTTTATTGACAATGTTCGTTTATTCGTTCGTTCCTTCCTTCGCTGATTCCTCCGTTTGTTCGTTCGTTTGCTGGTTCGTTCGTTCCTTCGCTTGTTCCTCCGTTTGTTTGTTTGTTCGTTCGGTCGTTCGTTCGTTCGTTCGTTCGTTCGTTTGTTCGTTCGTTCGTTTGTTCGTTCGTTCGTTCGTTCGTTCGTTCGTTCGGTCATGCATTCGTTCAGTTCGTTCATTCGTTTGTTCGTTCATTCGTTCGTTCGTTCATTCGTTCGTTCGTTCATTCGTTGGTTGGTTGGTTGGGTGGTTAGTTCGCTCGCTCGTTCGTTCGTTTGTTCGTTCGTTTGTTCCTTTGCTGTCTCTTATACACATCTGTGCAAGGGTATTTGCAACGACGGCTTCCAAGGACTCCATCCTTCCACCTCCCCCTCCCTTTCGTTCGTTCGTTTGTTTGTTCGTTTGTAAGTTCGTTTGTTCGTTCGTTTGTTCGTTTCTTCGTTCGTTTGTTCGTTCGTTCGTTCGTTCGTTCGTTCGTTTGTTTGTCCGACTTTTAAGAAAGCTCCCATTGTTATATCTGAAAAACGGGTTCAGCATCCCTCCTTCCTCCATTATGGCCAAGGAGACAGCGTCGTTGATTGCTCGAGTTCCCAGGAGGATTTACCACTGCCCCCCCCTGCTTGCCCCTGCTTCCCCCTACATATTCTATCTTGATCTTATGTCTACTCTGGGAGGATTTACATCTGCCGAGGCCTAGTTTTACCTGCTCTACCCTTCTCCGTGCCCTCTCCTGGGGAGTAAAAAAAAAAAGAGAGAGAATAAGGGGAGAAGAATAGGATCCATAAGGGTTGAATAATTTACTTTTCCCTACACCTATGGATCCTATTCTTTGCCCCTTATTCTCCTCTTTTCTTTTTCCTTTTTTTTTGTAACATCAGCGAGGGCTACTGTCGGGTGTGGCATGAGCACTCCCCAAGAGTATATCGTCTGCAGATGGCTCCAATCTATAGGTGGGGAGCTACACGTGCTGCAAATTCGGTCTAGCGTCCCTTTGAAATTCTGATGGACATGGTGATATTATTATGATGTAAGGGGCTAAACCTCCCCTGAAAAAAGAAAGGTTGTTCGTGTTCTTCTCACAATTATGATGATGGTGGTGGTAATGATGAATCAGATGGAAATTGTGATGTCTGATGGGGTTACTCGTCTAAATTCAACCACGTTAAACTTTGCAGTTTGCGTGGAACTGTGATCGTCTCTTAGAACATTCTTTTCATGCAATTATACTTCTGTTAAGAATGTCCCTCTCTCTCTCTCTCTCTCTCTCTCTCTCTCTCTCTCTCTCTCTCTCTCTCTCTCTCTCTCTCTCTCTCTCTCTCTCTGTATCACTC